CAGGCTGAATTCGTGGGTCGGCTCGTTCGCGACAAACAGCGTTTGTAGGGGAGGAATCCACTACAGTACAAAACTTATTTTAAATAGCTAGTTTAGGTGTGCAAGAATCGTAACGTATTACCAAGTTTATTATGAAAAAAAAATGCTTTCTGTAAACATATTTCTCTGACGTGTTCCGGGCTGCGTTTGCATCTGCAGGAACAACTCTAAGAACTTTCAGTACAGGGTATTTAAAACCTCCAGGGTACAAGGTTCGAAGATATACCAATGTAATAGACTGGAGTGGCGAATGTTTCAGCTCGCTAACGTAACGTGTGCTGCCATACTTGTCATCTCCATTCCTCCAGTGTACTTGGCGGCCTTGTAGCTGAGTAATGCGTCACTCGGTGCTCTAACTGCTGGCGAGCCAACACTCAAGCTATTGTGGTAAGTAGAGAGGATCTCAGTACACATAGCATTGAAAGAGACACTTAACATTACATTGATCTCACCACGATTTAATTTTGTCATATATGTTGATGTTAAAGAAAGATTATCATCATTATTTCAATCTCACCATATTTTAATATCGTTATATTTATTGATATAACAACGCGAAAACTAAATAAGTGTACTGTACTTCATAAACTCTCACTTCCCTTCAAGTAGCAAAGATTATAACTTCGTATCAGGTTTGTTTAATTAACACATAATTATTGATACCCAGACAGAACAACTGGCATCTAGCCCCGACTAACTGGGAGGATGAGGGGAATCAGCAAGTCTCGCCAGTGTAGTGTTGTTTGTACTTGTGCCAAGTGACATATTGGTATAAATAATTCACTAGGAAAGAACTCCGTAGTAGATAGTTGTATTTCATGATTTTAATGACGTTACTGGGTTTAATTTTTAGTACTGTAACGTTTAGAAGGATTACATACAAGAAAGAAGGCTAGAGGGAATTATGTAAGTAGACCTGTAAGTGTAGCTACTGTGGGGTTATCTGGCCACATACAGTACGCTACACTACTACGCCAAGTTTTTAATGTATCAATGAAGATCACGAAGCACTGCGATGACAAATATGAGGGAAAACACTCCTTAGTGCTTGTGTACATCTTATCGTTGTTATACTCATGAATGCATACTCATTTTGTAAATTTAGTAGAAAATATCAGGCATATAATTATAGGAAGTCGAGTTATTCATCATAATATTGGCAGTAGAGTTTGCATTTGTGAAAATGTTGCTAGTTTCTTGTTATTTCCTAATTAAATCGTCATATCGGAACTTTAATTTATTTCATCACTTATCAGTATACTAATCGTTGGAGTATTTGTCGATTAGTCTGTTACGACCTTCATTATCCAGTGTCAGTACAGGAGAAAACCCTCAATGTAGTGTAGGGTAACACTGGATAAACACCCTTCGCTCAGTGGACTCAGAATGCAATACTGTACTGAGAAAGGCCTCGTGTCTGTTGCCTGTGGTGTTTTGCAATTTCCGGTGCTTAGGAGAAGTGTGTTTGTTTACATTACATGTGCATGAGGCGGGAAGTGTGAATATTTTAACACGGGATGGTAACATGTTTGGGTCTAGCGCTGTGATAGTTGAGGGCATTTGTTTTGTATTAACTGAAGTTAAGGTTTCATACCTTCTTTGTGGTATGTGTTTATTTAGGTGAACTTAGTTAAGGTGTAGATGAAGAAATCAAGTGTAATTGGGTATGTTTGTGGATATAACTCAAGTGATTGAGGAATTATTGAAAAAGTTTAGGTTGTTACTTTAATGTAGCACTACAACATTTTCAACTTAAGAATTTCGTGACAGAAATTTCTCAAAATATTATTTATCATTGGTAATCTTCTGTTTAATGGTCGTAAAATTACAAGTGCCTTTGTTGACAAGAAACTTTCCAAAGTACAGTATCAGATATTGCTATATTAACATGGTTTTTCATTAATAAAAAGAACTAAACAAACCAAATTTGATAATCTTGGAACAGATGGCTAACACCAGTATGTGTTGTTTAATTTTGTTCTTTTTTCCCACAGGTGTTCTTTGAAGGATAGTAAGTAAAAAAAAAAACACGACAATGCACAGAACCTGATAGAACATGACCTAACGTGACCTGACCTGAGGAATCCATTGTTCGATTTTGTTCTTTTTTTCTATAAATGTTCTGTGGATGATAATAAGTAATAAAAACGATAGGGCAATGCAGAGAATGTGAAGAAATTAATATACCATACATATTCTTCCGGAAAGTCTGCCGTGTAGGCACGTGTTGTCGTTTGATTTTTGTTTGTTTCCATGGCTCTCACATTGACAAATAACTTAAAATTACACCATGCTGCTTCAAGAAAGTTGCTTTCATTGGTACACAATATCAAAGTAAGTACATTCTGTTTAATATGGTGAGGGGATCTGGGGGGCACAGGCCCCGGATAGGAAGTTAGGTATAGTTAGGTAGGTTTCTTTGGTTGGTTAGGTTAGGTTCAGTGCATTGTCATTTTTGTTTTTACTTACTATCATCCAAAAAACATGGGGAAAAATTTTACGAAATTGAACAATGCTATCTAGTATTACCCATCTGCTCCAGGATTATCCCAAATTTACCAAACAAAGGCACTTGCAATTTTATGCCCATTCAATACAAGAATACCTGATCATATATGTTGATTGGATCGGTGCAGTGACTAATACTATACATATACAATACTGTACTACTAGGAAAGGACCTGTGCTTCCTTCCCCATTGGCATCACAGAAAAAGTTATGTTGTTTCTTTAATTCTTTATCTTTTCAATTGTTGAAATCTTTTACTGCTCGATATACTGTACCTAGTTCGTGGCTGGTTTGGGTACTTGTAGCAGTTGGTCAGTAGTATGTGTTATGATTATATATACAGTATATATATATATATATATATATATATATATATATATATTATATATATATATATATATATATATATATATATATATATATATATATATATATATATATATATATATATATATATATATATATATATATATATATATATTATTATTATTATTATTATTATTATTATTATTATTATTATTATTCAATTTCAATTTCAATTGTTTATTCCTTGATAGAGGAAGCGGGATCCTAGTGCTGTCACTAGGTACCCCTGTACAATGACACCAGAATCATCTGGCAAGTGTGAAAAGTATATACAGTATAAATATTATAAAGGGGCTTACTAAAGCCTAAGGAAGGAAGGATGTTCCTTTAACACATAATCAATATTATTTACAAAATATCTGGCCAGTATTGGGAGGATCATCGTGTCTCCGTCAGGGGGTCGTGGAGTGGTGGTCCAGCAGGCGTCACGGAAGCGTTGTGTGTGGGGACATCTTAGGAGGTAGTGAATAAGGGTGCGGCTGTCGGGTCTTCTGCATAACGCACAAGAGCGTTGCTCAGGGGATGTGGGGATACCAATCTCCCAAGCAAAGTCATACCCAATGATGATACGGGCAGCAATCACGTCCCCCTTCCGCGACCCTTTCCCGTAGACGTACGAGAGGTCAGGAAGTTTACGGAGGACATCGTACCATGTGGGCGGGGAGTCCAGGGGGATGGCTGCTTCCCGAGCTTCTCTCTGTTTGCGGCGGATTTGGGTCCTAATCTGTAAGAGTGTTCGAGGAACAACGTAGTCAGGTGTGGCCTTGTTGCAGCCAGTCTTGGCAAGGTCATCTGCTGCCTCATTCCCCAAGATACCGACATGACTGGGTATCCATAGGAATGTCACAGGGCGGCCTGCATCCTGAAGTGTGGATGTTAACCCTCGTATTCGGAGGATGAGGTCCTTATTATTATTATTATTATTATTATTATTATTATTATTATTATTTTTGCCCTCCAGTCGTACAGTACCTGGTCAGGATCATAGTACATGTGCCCCAGAGAGTGTTTCCTCCTCTCTAAGCTGTTGTGTCTCCCTGCCTAGTTGATGTGTCTCCCTGCCTAGTTGATGTGTCTCCCTGCCTAGTTGATGTGTCCCCCTGTCTAGTTGATGTGTCCCCCTGCCTAGTTGATGTGTCCCCCTGCCTAGTTGATGTCCCCCTGCCTAGTTGATGTCCCTGCCTAGTTGATGTGTCCCCCTGCCTAGTTGATGTGTCCCCTGCCTAGTTGATGTCCCCCTGCCCAGTTGATGTGTCCCCTGCCTAGTTGATGTGTCCCCTGCCTAGTTGATGTGTCCCCCCCTGTTAGTTGATGCCCCTGCCTAGTTGATGTGTCTCCCTGCCTAGTTGATGTCCCCCCTGCCTGGTTGATGTGTCCCCCTGCCTGGTTGATGTGTCTCCTGCCTAGTTGATGTGTCCCCTGCCTAGTTGATGTGTCCCCTGCCTAGTTGATGTGTCCTGCTCAGCTGATGTGCCCCTGCCCAGTTGATGTGCCCCTGCCTAGTTGATGTGTCTCCCTGCCTAGTTGATGTGTCCCTGCCTAGTTGATGTGTCCCCTGCCTAGTTGATGATCCCCCTGCCAGTTGATGTGTCTCCCCTGCCTAGTTGATGCATCCCCTGCCTAGTTGATGTGTCCCCTGCCTAGTTGATGTGTCTCCCTGCCTAGCTGATGTGTCTCCTTGCCAGTTGATGTGCCTCCTTGTCTAGTTGATGTGTCCCCCCCCTAGTTGATGGGCCCCACCAGGTGTCCCCCACCTAGTTTCTGTGTCCCCCCACCTAGTTTCTGATGGGTCCCCCCACCTAGTTTCTGTGTCCCCCACCTAGTTTCTGTGTCCCCCACCTAGTTTCTGTGTCCCCCCACCTAGCTCCCCCCACCTAGTTGATGGGTCCCCCCCACCTAGTTTCTGTGTCCCCCTGCCAATTCGATGTGTTTCACCTTAATACTGTATTACAATATTGACATTATAGTACAGCATTTCGTAATATTTTATTGACCTGTCTTATGGAATGTCTCTTCAATCTTGCCATCAGTGAGGTAACCATCTTATCATTGGGGTATCTTATCTTGTTACTGTAAGTGGCATGTGTTCTATGTTAAAGATAAAATTGTACTCTCCAAGTCCAGTGTTCATTGCCATAGAAGACCTGCTCTGTATTGTCGACTGCATTTATTTCACCAAATTACAGTAATGTAAAATTAACAAGATACAGTACTGCTCCTGTATTACTTTAATCCTTTACAGTTATTATTACAGTATATGTTATTGTTTTATTGTACTGTATTCAATGTGGATTTTTTTTAATACAGTACAGTGTAATTTATACCTGGAAAATTAAGTGAATTAAGTGAGATCTTGATGAGATGATTTACTCAGTCTTTAACTGAAAAGCTTCATATGCATATTACTATGAACTTATATGATATACTGTACTGTGTTGTATATTCAGTGTGTTGTTTTTGTCATGTACCCTGTACTGTATGTATACTGTTGTCACATTCACATCAGCTTGACAAGTTCAGAGCCACAGTTTGGCCACCATATGCTTTCTTTTTCTAATATTTAAATGCAAGTTTTTGCTGTCATTGTATAACTATTGTTTATGATCTGATTTTTTTTAATAATGCTGGTCTAGTACAGTACAGTATTCAGTGATTTTACATTAAGATACAAACTTCCTTATCTAATACTGTATTGTACTGTGTTTCCTGTATAACACTCACAGATGACGTTCTGGAAAGAGGCTGTTACGTCTGTGTATCCAGCTCTAAACTTTCAGCTGAATAATTGGTGGTGGTGGTCGAGATAATTTTATTGAACTGAATTTTAGCTTTGTAATCATATTGCAAATCCTGATTTCTTCAAGCTTTGTCCAAATTTCTTTCAAAAGTTAAGACTGACTTACTGTAGATCCAATTACATACTAGGGTAACATATTCCAGTTACTGTATTTATTACTCTATTACAAAACGAGTTCTTTCTCTTGTTAAATCGTGATCTAGCCTTAAATATTTTCTTATGATGTCCTCTAGTTGTCTGATCCTCTTGCAATATAAAAGTATCCTGACACACTTCTGGGTCGTACACACCACACAGACTCTTGTATGTTTCTATCATGTCTCCTCTTGTTATATACTGTAGTTTGAAGTTATAATATCATTAATACCTGTAATAAAAAAATAATAAATTAGTAAAAAAAAAAAAAAAAATTAATTAATGTTCGTTGTAGGAGTTTCGTTCGTTATAGCATTCTCAATTTTAGAGGTAAAACCGTTCGTTATAGGAATATTCGTAGTAGGATCCGTTCGTTATAGCATACCCCACTGTAGGCAGATGACATGAGCTATCACAAGAATATTTAAGTAAATAATACTATACGTACTCGTGTGTCTGAATGTGTCTATGTATGATGAATAGCAGGTGTCAGGGTGAAGCAAGGTTAAAAAAATGGGTAATGAGAATGGAAGTTGTACCCCAGGTAAGACTTGCATGTCGACTATGCAACAATGTAGTAACTGGCATTTGACATAATACAGTACAGTACACACACTACATACAATAGAGGATACTGTAAAGTATATCCTAATACTGTACTGTATACTGGACTGTATACTGTTCTGAATACTGTTCTGTATAGACTATTGTAAGTGCAGTCTTCATTATTGGCAATAAGGCAAATACGATAATATACTGTACTGTACTACCTTATGTTTATCGTCTATGTAATTTTATCTGTTTATTTTCAGTTCTCATCATTTACTGGGACTTTAATTTTTCTGCATCTTTTCCAATTTTTTCATACAGTGTTTTTTATGTCATCATGCTGCTGCTGCTTCCATACCCTAACCCCAGAGCTTTTTATTAAGGTGCACTCGGATCTAGGAATGCATGGAAAGAATAAGTATTGTTTTACCAAGTGTATATGAGGAAAAGACCAAAGTAGATAGAAATACTGTACAGTACTGTAGTAATGAAAGTTTAGGAAACTATAAAAGATGAGATAATGGGATAACATGATTTTTTTCAAAGTATCTAAAAAAATTAAGATGTAGCAGCACACTACTAGTTGGTGTTGCAGAGTGAACATGGTTAAAGAAATAGATCCATTTTTACAGGAGAGTAAAATTTCTTCACTTTTCTGTTGATAGTGCTGCACAGGACTTCTATAAGCCAGTAGTAAAACCTATGCACAGTATTTGCTACAGACTTAAATTGGTTGTAAACTTTGCAAATGTGTGTCTGAAAGACGAAATGTTAAGTTAGATGTTACACTGCATTATTGATATACAGGTACAGGTACAGTATCACATACAGAATACAGTAACATGTTTGTAAGAGTTGCATATGTGAGTATGGCCACTGACTTAGAATTTGTGTTGTTTCAGATTTATTTGGTTTATGAAAAATAGTTATGGCAGAAGTCATGGAACTAAGAGAACGGCTTTTGTCATCTGGTATAAGCATCACACACATGAAAATTGGTGAAAAAACAATGAAGCGATATTTGAAAGCCCACCACACAGTAGATGCTGCATATGAGGTAAGTGTTCCCTAATGGTTCAGTATTTGAATTACTTAATGATATTTTGCCAAATTTCATTGCAATAAGCAATAAGAAGTAGGCATCTAGGTATATGCTGATTTTAGTTCTTTGAAATAAAGTTTCAAGTGAGCAGCAAGGATTGTTGATTGTAAGTTTCAGTAGGAATGAAGAGCCATATATCAAAATTTGGATGATGAATTTTCCTGAAGTTTTCAGTTATGAGAACCATTGGTACCCAAGATAATATGAGATCCCTTGTTCATTTTACTATAAATTCATATCTTCTGCTTTGTGATAAATATTGTACAGGTATTATTCTGAAACTACAGGTAGTAACACTTTTAGTGATGAATAAGTTGTCAAATTGTAGAAATAAACTTGTCAATTCAAGCTGATTAGACACAAATTTGAAGGAAGGTAGGAGTATCCGATTTGACAGACTACAGGCTTTAAAAGAGAAAGTGATTTCGGGACTATTCTAATTCTGGCTTAATGCCCTTCACCAGGCAGCTCTTGTAATCCAAAGCCTGTTAAAAACCGGTAGCAGGAAGTGCTTTAATTGTTCCAGGACTGGAGAGACACAATCCTCCAAAGTGAAAGTTTATCTTTGGTACTAACAGGTCAGAACGGATAAGACATTATAGTGGATCCCAGGAGCGAATCCAGGAATATCAAAAGGTAGGGTCCAAGAAGTTGTGGGTGGGGAAACATGGCAAGCATAGTGGGCCCACCCAGCTGGGGTTTTTTGGGGAGGCGCTGTTAGTGCCCCATTTTTTTTTAATCTGACCAATATAATGGCCATTTTGAAGCCATGTGCACTTGATAATAGGTGATATTCTGAGGTCACTTGTAATTATTTTCTACTATAGAAAAATGCCTGAGTACAATACTGCATGAAATAAAAAGTATTAAAATTTTCTGATGAAAAGGGGGGGGGTCTGGACCCCCAGGACCCTCTTGGATCTGCCCTTGGACCCCTTGAAGAATTTAATCCTGCAGAACCCAAAGCTTACATTCATTAGAGAGGTGTAGAGTTAGGGGAGATATGATAGAGGTGTACAAGTGGGTAAGTGGGATTAACAAGGGTAAAATGGAAGATGTTCTGAAGCTCAGTAATAACGAAATAACTAGAACAAATGGCTTTAAATTAGATAAATTCCGATTCAGAAAGGATATAGGCAAGCACTGGTTTGGTAATAGAGTTGTGGATATGTGGAATAGGCTACCGAGTGCTATAGTAGGATCGGGGACGCTAGGGAGCTTCAAGACGAAGTTGGATAGGCACTTGGAAGTGCTGGGATGGGTGTGAAAGGGATCTGCCCTGTATGGGCCAGTCGGCCTCCTGCAGTATCCCACTTTCTTATGTTCTTATGTTATGTTCTTAAGTATATGAGGGAAACAAATAACCACAGTAGTTCTCAGCCTGACACACTAATGTAAATATTCATGATGTAAATATAAAAACCCACAAGTTAAAGTTCTTCACTTTCTATAAAGAGATGTGAAACAGAAGCAGTATCCCTGGTATCTTAAGACCTTCACTAACAATGATCCCCTCCACCAAGATGGAATCCAAACACTTCAATAATTACAGGCTAAGAATAATGCTATTCTGCACATTATAAAAATATATGAATATGTTCAAAAGGGGCTTTTTCAAAATCCATTGAGTAAAGCTGATATCTGCTATATGAGTCATGATAGGAATATCATTTGTGAAATGATTTTTTGCCTCATAAAAGTTAAATGTCTTTATTAGCTGACTAAACACTTGTCCAATGCTGATACACTAGTAGATTTTTATTTACCCATTGAAAATAAACCTATGGTACTTGTATTAAGGAAAAAGATTGTCATATCTGTGGGTGGAGAGGTGTGTGAATGTTCATAAACTTTTTCTTGTATGGGATATATAGTTGTTCTGGAGTAATTTATTCGAGTATACTGTAAATTATCATTAGGTGCAGTGCTCAACACTGAATTTAAGTTTTGTTTTACATATGGCTATTTGTCCTTTTTATACCTCAGTATGGTCAAGAGCCATAATTTTAAGTTAAATTTCTTTTCAGAAAATCATGGCAACCAATTCTTGGAGGGGAGAGTTTGGTGTAGCAAGTATCACTGCAGACATACCAGGTGTAAAGAGGGCAAGTGAATCAAAAGTTTCTGTTATATTAAATGAACGAGATAAAAAAGGACGACCTGTGGTGTATGTTGCAGTACGAAATCATAGTATACACAGGAGGAATGTAGATGACATGATTCAGCTCATAGTCTACACACTGGTAAGCTGTATAAAATTTTGTATACAAGATTTAAGAAACTGTAAGTACAGTACATGTGTTTACTGGTAAATCCAAATACAGTACCGTCAGCGCCTGCTTACCATACATCCTTGTATCTGTACAATGGTGAGATGTGTCCCATTTTATGTGCTGTACTTACATATGCAGATATACACATTGCACCCATGCTAAACCTGTCCACTGCCATGTGTTCTTTACTTTATTTTGCTGGGTCATGTTCACAGCTGATTGTTTTTTTCAGTATTTACAGGTACTGCACAAGGTATTTTGTATTGTGACTGAATATTTTGTTGTACATTACAGTACTGTACCATGAGTAAAAAGAAAAAGAAAAGTAGCATAGATGCTGTAACTGATGGAATTACAGTACCAATAAGAAGAAAAGGCTTTCTATTACCTTTGATGAGAAAATTTAAATAATTTCCTTTAAAATCCCCTGAGAGCCACCCTAAGTTGGGAGAAATTTAGGGAGCCATGCTCTATTGAAGTTACTCCACCTCCTTTGTCTTCTTGAGTTAAAATTATTTCTGAAGCTTCCTCATATCGTTTGATTATAACACATGGTTTCACACCTGCTAACCAGTCGAATGGTTGATCAAATCTTTGTTGTACACTGTAAGCAATTGCAGGGCATGGAATGGCTCTTTAACGTATCCGAACATGTCCCGGTCATTGTCAAGTCTGCACTTGATATACAGTACATATTTTAAAAGGCAATTTATCTTCTTAGCCCATTATTTTACTTATATTTTCTGATGAATAAACAGGAGACAGCTACCAGCAAGTGTATAGAAGATGGACTGGACAACATCTGCCTTGTATTTGACATGAAAGACTTCAGCATGATGTGTATGGATTACACTGTTTTGAAAAATCTTTTCACAATTATGACTGACCACTACCCAGAACGACTTGGAGTTTGTGTCATCTTAAGTGCTCCGTTTATCTTCTCTGCTTGCTGGATTATCATCCGATCATGGTAAGATATTGTTTTTTGCTTATTTAAATTGTGTTGTGTTAAAGAATTTTATTTACTATCCCAGGTTTTTACTGTCAAAATAATCTAATACTGTATCAATGTTTTCTAAACCTCATACTCCATTACCTTCATATTTATAGGTAGGTGACTTTTTTACTATTTCTTATTCCTGTAATTAAGTGAACACTACATAACCTTGTGTTTGTAATAGTCATTTGCTATTGTGTGCCTGGTAATCTCTATTTGTAAGGTTGAAATAGAAAGATGTCCTCTAGACATTCCATTTTATTTTAGTCCACCTAACAGTATATCAGTGAAATATCAAAGTCTGTTTGTGGACAAGATCTTGTTTTGGAATTAAAAGCAATCCAGGGTACTATCCATGTTGGACCTTTCACATGGTTGTGTTGTCACAGTTAATCCCATGATATTCTTTAGTCTTCTTCTGGTGACAAAGTCTTCATAGAGATGGCCAAAGTTTTTGTTTGACCTTCATGAGCAAGAGCTTTCAATTTGCTCTTTTTAATACTGGTCATAATTTATACTTTATCCTCTTTGCCACTGATTGGCTTGTTGGCCGCTTTGGGAGTCGGTTACATCTCTGTTACACGCTGTTGGCAAGTACTGGGCATGTTCTGGTTCCAGGGTGTATTTTTACCTGTGCCGGTGTTGGTCAAGTCTGATCTTGCATGAGCTCACACTCGGTCTCAAGTCTGTCTGTGATATGACCCACAATAAATAGCAGTTATTGGCAGCATTAGTAAGTAACCTTCAAACATATCAACATTCTTAAAAAAATCAGACTTAAGCAAGGTTATAAAAAAGTTAAAAAGAACAAAAGCAATTTACTCATACTTCTAATAACTTTTTTTAATCACATGATGAGCACAATTTAACAGCTTCTGCCATAATAGCTAAGAGGTCACTTGGAAGTAGTACTGTACATATGTGCAACTGGGAGATTATGCCATCAGATAATCCTGGCCAACCAGCAACCATGAAACCATAAAACAGTGATGATGATGGGTTACACATAGTGCCTCATTAAACCCATTAGACTAAAGATATTCATTTTAACATGCAAATACTATACACAAAGATGTGATTCATGCAGTGCTGGTGAATACCGGGAATCAAATACACTAGATACTGTACATGTTCATAGTGACTGCATTGGCTTTCACTTAAATACTGTAATAGTAACATAATTATTCTTCTTGTTGGCATTTTATTATCATCAATACACTCTGTAAGTCGAAAGTTGGTACCTGCAACTCCTATTTGCTGAACACATACATTGGAACACCTCAAATGATTTTTTGGCCTGTGCATGTAACAGAGTTGCAGTCTGCCTTGCAAGCACACTGACTCACTTGGAGTTGTTCATTAGGCAAGGAAAGCATTTTGTCTTCAGGTACCATATCTATCATCATCATTATCATCACTGATCTTGTGTTGGCCTCTCTGTTCTATTCGATGGCTGTATATGATAATGTGATATGATAGCTTCCTTTTGAACAAGAGGTTGTCTTTTGGGAGTCTGGTTTGAAGGTCAAAGATAATCTGATTGTTTATTTACCATATATACTCATGTATAAACTTAGAGTGAGGGGCCATATGATAGAGGTGTATAAATGGAAGTCAGGGCTGAACAAAGGGGACATTACAAAGGTACTACTCAAACTATCCAACCAGAAGCGAACTCGTAACAGTGGTTTTAAATTAGACAAATTTAGATTTAGGCTCAAATTAGGTAAACATTGGTTTGGAAATAGAGCAGTGGACGAGTGGAACAAGTTGCCAAATATCATCATTAACTCGAATATGCTGGATAGCTTCAAACATAGGTTGGGTGGATATATGAGCAATAGGGGTTGGGTGTAAATGGGACTGCCCAGTATGGGCCAATAAGCCTGCTGCAGTTTGCTCCATTCTTATGTTCTTATATATAGTTCAACTCCTGAGTTTTTCATATTTACCTAATGGCCACCCACTAGTGGTGGCCATGTCCAGGAAAAGAGGCCAGTGGCCTGTGTAGGATCCCTCCATTGTTCTTGATAAATTTGTCTAGGGTTGTTCTGAAGCCTAGTACAGTATTGTTCCATATATCTACCACCTTCTGTTTGAAAAACAATTTCTTTATATTCACTTTGCATGATAGCTTGGCGAGTTTGTAGTTATGTCCCTTCATGTTGGTGGTGTACAACATCACAAAGAAATATCCCAGGTTCACGTTTTCCATCCCTTCTCAGGATTTTGAATGTTTCAATGAGATCTGCCCTGTTGTGCCTTGTCTGAAGGGTTGTTAGTCCTTAGGCCCACAGTCTGCTTGGATAATCAAATTGACATAGTTCCAGAATCATCTAAGTCACTCTCTGTTGCACCTTTTCTAAGGATGTTAGATCTTTCTGGAGGTAGGGTTTCCATGCCTGTATACAGTAATCCAGACTGGGATGTACATGAGATTTGTATAGTTAATGAAGTATTTTCCTGTCTTTATATTCGATCTTTATAATTCTCAAATCTTGGCTTGCTTTTGTCACTGCTGCCGCCTTCAGTGAAAGATCTAGATCTTTCTCCTTATCGACAGTATCCAGGTAAGTGTTAACAGAGTACAGGTAGTTGTGATTATCAAAGCGTTTTAAAAATAAGAAATTTAACTGTGAGGGATAAGAGGAAATAATATATACTGTGCCAGTAAATGCAAGGAATAAATAAAAATAATACCAAAAAATAAAAGAAAAGAAAAAATACAGTACTTATTGCCATGCAGCTGCTGGACATTGAAGTATTTGTCTAACATTTCACTACACACAGGACTTGGGAGACAGCTCAGCTGAGATCCCACACTCCGCTGACACCCCCTTCCCCATTCCCTTGCTCAGCATACTAAGTCTCATGTTTTTTACCCTATAATAATTGTTTTGTTTATTTTTTGCATATTGTATATGTAAGAGTGTGTGTGTGTGCATGTAACATAGTAAAATAAATTGAGGACTATTTTGTATATTTACCCAAAATTACGAGTTGAAAAATAACCATAACATAGGTCGCAGCATGGTCTTGTAGGGATGTTGCTACAGTGATGAGTCAAACTTGACAACAATGCCATCAGCGATGTTTACAAATGCACACAAGAGGAAAATTATCTGTAACTCCTTATTTGTATCAGGTTTTGTAGACCTAAAGCAGCATATATAGTACTGGAATTGAGGTTGTGCTCTTCATGTAGCAACATAAAGAAACAGGGTTGGCAAAAACCTTTTTTTATTTTTAATGTTATTATGTTGGTTTTAATAGGTCAAGTATTTTTCATTGCTAAAAAAACACAAGGGATACATTTGTTTTGCTTTATATTTTTCCAATTAATTATAATTTTTTGAAGGACTTATGATTTGTTCATTTATAAATGAGATAATTTACCCGTCTTAAAATAAATTTTGTCATGCAACATACAAAATTATTTAAATAGTACACTGTATCTGTTTATAAAAAATTACTATTACATGTTAAAAGAAAGGTGACAGACCAGACTTAAGAGAAAAATACAGTAACACTAGATTACCAAAGAGGGCTAAAACAATGGCAGTTGTGACAAACAGCAGTAGGAGCTGAACATATTTGACAAAGCAGGAGGTAAGACTGGTAGGAATATTAATATACTTGGGAATTCTTTTTTTGTCTGGGTACATCACTTTAAGATGTAGAGTTAATAAGTTAATCATACAGGTGTATCCCGAAAACTGACGTCACGTTAACTGCCGCTTCACATAATCAACAATTACATATTGGGGAAATACCCTGTAAGTTTCATTGACCCCCCTCCCACCCCCTCAGATCTACGGTAGGGAGAGGAAGAGCTGTTTTGAATTTGGCAGGCGGTGGCATGGTGCAAATTTTTCCCATGAGAGGGCTCTGCGCATTGCTCTGACTCATTCCCGCCATCTTTGCTCTTATTTACACTTAATGTGTGCTTCTGGCTTTGTGTTTTTTCATTATTTCCAACTTAGTGTGTTACACAATCATGCCTAAATGCCCCAGTGATAGTTCTCTTGTGCTGGGCAGCTTAATGTGATGTGATAAGACATAATAAGGCATAATAAGAGTGGTGAATGGTGATGGACCAGCAAAGATTGGTAGAGACTTGAATTTGCCACCCTAGACTGTCTCTACCATCCTCAGCACAGATAAATAATAGTCTCAACTTATACTTTACATTGCTTATTTAATGGTTATTATGTTTGCTTTATTTTCTTGCTTGACAGTGTGCACAACAGAGATATATCAAGGGTACATAGGAATTTTTGGAGAGTAGTCAGTCCCTAATCTCCTGTATTTATTATATTTTTATGGGATTGATTGGTTCACTAACCAATGACTTTTCCTGGTCCCTATATGCGTCAGTTATCGGGGTACACCTGTATTATGAAGTAGGTTGTATCCATATGCTTGGTCATGTAAAAACTTGAACTGTACTCGAATATTTACAGTACTGTACAGTACAGTAGAACGTCTATATAACACGAGATAGTTCCAAGAGAGGTCGCTTTAAACTGAATTCGCACTAAATCGAAGTGTTGTTTCAATGGAATAATTTAGTTTGGTACTTGAGTGAAAGAAAATACTAAAAAGACTAAGAATCTACCCAGATGCACCTCAGCCCATCTTCTAGAATAAACAAAACATTGTTTTTTGTAGTATTATGTTAAAACAAACTCATAAATCAACACAGCTAAAATTATTATGTTTACTAGCGATCAGCTGATGGGAAGATTGGGGGGGGAGGGGGGGGTGAGTCGATATGTTTGACAGTTGATGCCAAGGTCTAGTGCTTATTTATTTATCTGTCCGTAATAGTGCCTTTAAGTTTTTTCTTATAAAATATCACTGAAGTGACATGTTCTAATTAATTTTATTACAAAGGGGCTAAAAATTATGATGCTTATATTCAAATTATTCACTGTCTTGCAAGGATTCTAGCAATGCTAAGTTTTTCTCTTATAAAATGTCACTGAACTGACATGTTCTAATTAATTTTATTACAAAGGGCTAAAAAAATTTATATCTTGTGCAAAATATATGACGCTTATATTCAAATTATTCGCTGTCTTGCAAGGATTCTAGCAATGCAAATTATATTCTCCTAACTTTAGTTTGTGATATTATATAAGATAAAACTGTAAGCCTAAAACCACCTAACTCTGGATGGGAAGATAGGGGGGGGGGGAGGTGACAGTGACATGTTTGACAGTTGGGGCCAAAGGTCTAGTGGAGTATTTATTTGTTTATTTATGTCCTTTAGATTGTGTTATTGTTTTTTGTTTATAAAATGTCACAGAAGTGACCGGGGAGAATATAATTTACATTGCTGGAATTCTTATAAGATAGTGATTAATTTGAACATAAACATGCTATAGTTCACATTAAACATACAAATTTTAGTTTTAATTAGGAAACTTATTACAAATGGCTAAAAAATTTATCTCTTGTGCAAAATATATGACGTTTATATTCAAATTATTCGCTGTCTTGCAAGGATTCTAGCAATGCAAATTATATTCCCCTAACTTTAGTCTGTGATATTATCTAAGATAAAAACTGTAAGCTTTTAACCACCAAACCCTGGCTGGGAAGATAGGGGAGAGGGAGGGAGGGAGGAGGGAAGTGACAGTGACATGTTTCAGTTGTGGGAAGGTCTAGTGAAGTATTTATTCATTTATTTCCTTTAGATTGAGTTTTTGTTTTTTGCTTATAAAATGTCATAGAAGTGACCGGGCAGAATATAATTTACATTGCTGGAATTCTTATAAGATAGTGATTAATTTGAATATACTGTACAGTAATCATGCTATAGTTTGCACTAGACAAAAATTTTAGTAATCATTTAGTACATTATTTTGAGTACATGTACAGTACAGCTTTGCCTTTAGGACACTGTAACGTTCCCAGAGAAACAGTAGGCGCGAATTTTAAAATATGATGCGCCAGATTGACTTGCGCAAAATGGGAAAGATTCGCTTTAAATGAGAACAGTGTCCTTAATTGTGGGTGTCGCTTTAAATCAATAATCTTAAATTGAATCGCTTTAAATCGACGTTCCACTGTATTTGATTTTCAGTTTCTCGTTTAAAGTCAGGGCTGGGGCTGGGGGACGTGACCCATTGGCTTCTTAACTATACTGTACTGGTACAGTATACTATACTGTACTGTAGTTACTGGAATCAAATGAAGTTACTGTATTTACCAGTAATCCCAAACTTGAGGTTTTGGAATAAAAATGTCAAATGTTCAGCCCATTCTTTGCTCCTCTATATTACCAGCCTTTTCACAACCTGTTACACAATATAGTAGAAAATAATAACCTTGATTACTGTACGTTTTATTTCAGGTTGGATGAAAACACTGCTGGAAAAATCAAGTTTATCAAATCAAATGATGATCTCCGTCTGTACATAGATCCAAGTTTTTTGCCAATAAATTTGTAAATATTAATATACAATATGACTAAATGATTTATATAAGCCACTTATATTTAAAAAAAAATTTGCAATAGGAAAAAATGCACTTCTTGTGTTTAGTTGTTAATGTTATATTTTACTATAAGATATTTGTTTTTTCATTACATAAAACTACTGTATATATTTAGTTTCCTAACACTTTTTTGTTACATATGGATCTTTTATAGGGAATAAATAAATATTTTTAAAAAATATGGGTAACTGATATGAGTCATTTTTACAATGGAACTTGGAAATTAGGAAACATGATAACAAGGGCACAGTTTGAATGCAGACAACACTAGTACCTCAGAATCAGAAAATGACCAGGTGACTGATCAATATTAGTTTAAGATCCATAGCTGGGGAGGGGGCATTTATTCATAAATCAAAGGCCAGCCTAGAGTGATTTGAATATCATGTTCAGCACTGGTTGTGTCAGTGTTTCAGAGTTCAAGACCAATAACGTTATGCATAGTGAAAGGTGAAAAGTGAAAGTGGGTCCCAAAGGCATGACTGTCCATTAGGGGCAGTGTGGATACAGCACACTGTATACTAAGCTTTGGGTACACAAGAAGGCAGCATGGCTGGTACTGCATTCACTTACCCAAGTTGTAAACTAAGGTACCCATTTACAGCTGTGTGAATTGGGTCATCCAAAGGCAACTGGAATGCTTTTGCTAAAGCAAGGGGTCACAAACATACCAATACCTGGACTAGTGGTGGTATGCAGGAGATATTCCAATCTGTTTGTTACCTAACTTTATCAAATATGAATAGTGAATCAAAGGATGAGTTGATGCATGTAATGTTGGAGCTTGGTGAAAGGGAAATTGTGGTACAGTATTGGGTAGTGACCGAATCAAAAATAAATGTTTACTAAAGAATGTCAAAGGAAACTGCATGTGATTGAAGTGTTGTTACTTCCCAGGGAGCAAAGCTGGTGTTGATTAAGTGATGGCCAGGATGTATTTCCAGGAACATGCAACTCGGCACTTTAGTTTAGTGTATGTTTATACAGATGGCTCCAAATCTGATGTTGGCATTGGGTTTGGAATCATCTTTCCTGATTTTAGCAGTTTTCTGGCCGAGTACCGGTATGAGGTGTTCGGTGAGAGAAGTTCAGTATCTGATGGTAGGCTTTTTAATTGCAATAGAGTTACAGTACTTAACTGCTTGTGATTTTTAAATAAATATGGTATTTTACATTATTTTAATTTTGATATTTAGATTAATAGGATTCTATTTTATTTCTATCATAGTTTTAAATTCTGAGTTTCATTTTGGGCATCAAATGGCCACAGGTTGCGACACCAGATATTTTACCCAATCAATCAATCAATGTGATCACAGTCAAGTAACTCAATGTAGTTGGGTTCAGAACTGGAAGTCTGAATTTTGGTTCAATGTGAGGAAGAGCACAATCACTTCCCCAGCACCGTCATATTCACTTCCCCATCAGCACTATGAGGTGAACTTAGGTGCAATAGACTGTCAGCAGGATCCGGGAATGAGGTAGTCCAGCCCGGCAGGAGGTCAGGTGTTGTGAGCCGGTGTGACCATACCTGCTTCACCAACCTCATTCTCAAGTTTACTGAATCCTTGAGACATAAACACTCACTCACTCTCACACAATAAACCGAAGCTCTTCCATTTGAAACATTATTCGTAAAAGACAATTATTTATGTCAGGGAAAAAATATTACAACTTTTGGATCACTGACAATAACGTCGAGTTATCTTTACCAAAACAAATATATAAGGTGTTGGTTTACATAAAAAAGGATTCTGATAAACTAGATTCACAACTCCATGAATTCGGATCCGGAGCCACGTTCATGAACTGTTTCAAATCCTTGATGTTTTACAAGATATTGAATAAGATGATGTGAGTGGGCGGAGATTAGGAACAAGATGTTGGGTTATGTACTGATCGTTGTGCTTATTTGTTATGACCAGTATCCCAATATAACACCACAATGATAATGTTTACCATAAGATACCTCCATTAATTATTAACTAAATTTCATTATGTGGACATGATCTTCAATTATCAACAAAAATTTATTGAGCTATTGTATATTCTGTTTTTGTTTTATTTTTAAATAAGGGTCTTAATTCATTTGTTTATACATGGTCTTCAAACATTGTCTTGGTCAAATTTACTTTCATTAGACAAACAAAATTCAATATTAGAGCAGTGCAGCATCACACTTCATGACATATGGAGTCAAGATTTAATACAGTGACCCCTCGTTTAACGAACGCCTCAGTTAACGAACTGCCTACCATAAGGATCTTCAATTCGGTTAACGAACAAAAATTCGGTTAACGAATTTCTTACGAACCGACCTCAACATGTTTTCGCTTGCACTGACCGGGCAACCAGCTTTAGTATCAGTCCGCCAATACATTAATCGGTTCTAGGGCTTAAATTCCTTACTATTTTAGTAAATATCAAGAAGTTTATACTATTCAATAATTTTAAAAGTTTAATATTCAATTTTTTAGTCATTTTAACAATTATTGAACATAATTGAAGGTAAAGTGACTAGTTTAATGCGCGGCATCCAGCCTCTTAACACAGCAAACAGGAGTTAGTCTCTCTCTGTTTTCACTGGAGGTAACATCTTGCTTGAGACTCTCTTCAACTAAACACTTTTTTTCTGTGTTTCCAAGCAAATTATTGGTCATTTTGAAATATATTTTACATATTGACAATATATAATGCAGTGCAGTGTTGATTTAAAGAAAATAATCTTGAAATACACCAAGAGAACTAAAATTTTATGGGTGAAATGGTGCCATGGGGTGACTTCTCTTCCACCCCAATGACTTCTCTTCTTCCTTCTCCTCCACCCCCATTCTAATTCCCATCATCATCATCATCATCCAGGAGCCTTCTACATACACACCTCAAAGTAAGTGAACTTTTCTACCATTTTTGTTGAATTTAGGAAATTTTTGGTGAGCTGGAACCAATTACCAAAAAACCCATTGAAACAATGGTTTCGGTTAACGAACGACCTTCTGGAACGGATTGAGTTCGTTAAACGAGGGGTCACTGTATT